AATCCAGTCATCTACTTCTTCATGGGGGAAAAATTTAAGAAGTATCTGAAGATGCTCTTTAAGAACTGGCATTTACCTGGGTATGTTTGCAAGTGGTGTGGAGTTCACATCACTTACCACACTGAATCTACAAGTTCATTCCACACACAGTCTACGGGAGATCAAGATGCTCTGTAACGTGTTTCAGACCAGCCACTGAACTCACCAGCAAGCAACTGACAAAAGCAGGAACTTTGAAAAGCTAAGCGAATGCAGATGCATTTAACAATAAGCTAGTGCTGTGTAATTACTTACTTCAGCTTCATTTCTGCCTCTAGATTTTCTAAATACTATGACAGAAGGTGTCCTAAATGTGAAAGTTTTTCTCTGCTGCGATTACAAATCACTGCTCAGCTGTAAGAGCAGCCTCAGCTTTCTGCAGGGCGCCGTGCCAGGTGGCTTCTCTTTCACCAGCATCAAGACATTGGCCTGGATGGATGGGCAGAGGCGAGACAGCAGCTTGTCATCAGCACATACACTCAGAAAATAAATTCATTTATTCGAGAAGGATGGTTATTACCATATTTTTTTATTCTACAGTTGATCTATGTAGGACTTGTTCAGTCATGACTCTTAGGGAGCCATTAACAGTACTTGCTACTGTTAAATGTTTCATCTGAAGGGGAGGATACACCCTCTGACATTAAGAAAAAGGACACAAAATATATTCTTTATGCGCACAAACATGCAAAGCCATTATGTTGTGTTGTAGACACATTTTTTCTTAGGTTGGCGTATATGCCTATACACAGGCATATATATAGGCATTTTGAATTACTGTAATTCAGGATAGAAATTCTGTACTTTTATTACATAAAAAAGTTTTAAATATTTTTTAATAAAACTGTTTTAAAAAGCTTATTTTGCAGCATGTGTGAATAAATTTGAAGTATCTTTGCTAAAAGCATTTATTTTAAAGTGAATGTTCTTTGTTCCTAAAGTACTTAACCCCAAGACTCAATTGTCATTCACTGGAGATTTATATGGCAAAATGAAAGAAAGTAAAAACAGAGATTGTGTAGAAACACAATCAGTCTGTGATAACTTAGAAACCACACAAATCCTTGCATTTGATAACAGCAAAACAGTGTGATGCCCCAGTAGCTGCTCACAGATCTACAGGAGATTAACCAGAGATCCAGAACAGGAAGGAAATTCACATAGCGGTGTTTAGATTTTGGCATAAAATTAATTAAAAAACAGGCAAAAATCAGTAATGTGGTGGCATACAAAGTAAGAGTTGAAAAATAGTATTAGAAGATATTTCTAATATCTTTTTGCTGGACAACAGCCATTCAATAGGATGAGTTTTATTTTCTAAGATTGTAACAAAGTGCCTGCTGTAGCCAAGGCTGCAAAGAGCAAACAAGGCATTAAAATGCATCAGAAAAGGGAAAAGAAATGTAAAAATATTGTAATGCCATTGTACTAATCACCCTAAATAAGAAACTAAGTGGAAGCTCACCTCCATATGACCTCTCTCATGATACAAGACTGAAAATAAAAAGCAATACTTAAATACTTGTGCAGGCACATATCCATCATAATGAATTTTGGGAATGCATTACCATTAGCAGTTTGCTGAGGCTGACAAGCAAGGATCTGCATTAATGCAGATAATCTGAATAGCTGGGGAAGACATTACTTGCAATAAGAAAGTTGTCTTTATTTCCAAGAAAAAGACTATAAATTCTTATTACTCAAAACCTTAGAAGCCACTGAGTAAATCATTGGGAAAAACTGATGCAAAGAGTGGGTTAAGGCATCCATCACCTATTTTGAAAAGGAAGAACAATTTCAAGTGTCAGGTGCTTCAAATTCTCACAGATGTCACTGAACCCAACATACCACGCCAAGTTGGCACAGCACACAGCCCTCACAGATGGTGATGCTGATAGTGCACTGTGAACAGCTGAGATATGCATTGGTCTAGCGCACAGATTAACCTGGAAGCCCCACAGCGCAACACAGTTGCTTTTTTCTTGGTCATACTCTGTGATCCCTCTAGTCAGTAAGAATAAATGGCTCCTTTTGAGAAGTCTTGCTTTCCAGACCAGGGAAAGGGCTGCCTGTGCTGGCCTGGCAAATATGATGGTCAACAAGGAAAAAGCAAGCTGTAGGCTCTCTTGATAACCATGATGTAAGAGAGGTACAGGGCTAAGAGTGGCGTCAAGGGATGGCTCGCAGGCTGGTCTGGGTCTGGGCACATCCTGTGGTGAGGGAGGATGCCAAATCTGCTCATGTGTGGAACTAACAGGCTGCACCCAGCGGCTGTGCAGCATTGCCATAAACTGAGCTAGTGTAAAGCTCCTTTTCCACACAAAACTCAAATGTGCTTCACATTGCTGCTCAGCTTTGTGCCCCACAGCCCGTGCACGTTTGCCTTTGGTGCAGAGGGTCCTGCTGCAGGCAGAGCTCCCCACAGGTGAATGTTGTCCTTGTTTATCTCTGCCAAATAACCTCTTCCAGTTCTCTCAGTAACGCTCACAGTTACCCAGTGTGTGTGCTGAATGAGCAGCTGAGCTGAAAGCTGTGCTCTGAGCAGGCTTGCTGAATTGAGTGTAAAGAGGGGCTCACCTCTAAGTGATGGGCTCAAGAATCCAGGTACTGGGGCTGAAGCTCATCAAACCTGGGTGGCTTCCTACTCTGTCACTTGGAACAAACCCTCCCCAACATGCACCAAGCTCCAGTCGATAATGCCACTCCTCTTTTAAGAGAGGGCTTTGAAATAGCTCCTGATGAGAATGAACCAGATAATGGAATTAATACAGACAAAAACAAAGCAGGGATTTTCAAAATGTCAGTTGACAAAGATGTCATTTTAGCTGAACAAGAGTTTCCAGCAATGAATGATGTACGTACAGACTCACTGAACCATGAAAGAGAATGGATAGACATTTAAGTGAAGCAAAGCTGACTCATTCTTAAACCCACGTTTTTACATCAAGGTTCCTCAGAAGGCCAGCCTGCATCGTCTCTTCAGTTCTGCTAAGCAGCTGTAGAAGGGTAGATGAAGGGGGAAATCAGCTAATTATACTAAAAACAAATAATGATGAAAAGGTAAAAAGAAGTTGATTGATTGGTTTGCATACAGTGCTTAGGCCACAACAACCAATCCCTAAACATGAAGCTGAATTACACATTTATCTTTTGCTCTGGAGCTTCATCCCTTTTTAATTGTGCTGAAGCAGCATTGTGGTCAGCAGCCTCCTCCCAATCTGCTCCTCTCAGTCTGAGAGCCAGCAAGGAATTGCTCTTCTCCTCCTATATAATTGCTTGCCACTGTCCCAGCACCAGCTCTGTACACCTGCTCTGAAGGGGAGTACAATTCACATCTCTGTACTTGTTCATAGACCAGTAAACTGAAATTTGCCACAAGACCATGACCACAGACTGACTTGCCTTTTCTGCTATCAAAGCATGTGGGAAAGCTGTAAAAAGCACACATAGAAGGGAAAGAAGGATGGATTTTGCTGTTGCTTATGCCCTTTTTGCTCACTCACAAGCACCAGGAATGGAAAGAAAACAAGGCTGGAAGCTGCAGAGAACAGGTTTGACTTTGCTATCAAGAAACTTGTTTACGCTTTCTAGAAGAGCGAAACCCATAGCATGAGGTGTCACACAAAACCCTGCAACACTACAGAGAAGGGGCTGAAGAGTTTACAGAAGGAAATAAAAGGGAAGTTTGGATTTTGGCTGTTTTCTCTTCAGTTCTGCTTCACAAGCCCATCCTTGCATAACGCAGGCCAGTACTTGCTTCCTTTCCTTAGAAATATTAGGGAACCTCCAAAATCCCCTATGGGGAGGCTGGCTCCTGTCTGCTCCTGCTCTGATTTTTTGCATAAATGCATATGCCACAACCTCCTCTCCACAGTCACATGGAGTCAATCCATTCATTTCCTCACTAGCTTAAGATCACATTCTCCACACCCAGAGATCACCCAAGCAGGGTGCCTGTTTTGTGACTACACCGGCAGAATTGCATTTGACAAGGCAGTTTTATGAAGATGTCCCTGCTCATTGCAGGGGAGTTTGATTAGATGGCCTTTAAACATTCCTTCCAACCCAAATACTTCTATGGTTCAATGAAAATCCAAACACCAAAAAGAGCATATTTTTGGTGGCAGCTGCACTGGCTAATGATCATCACCTTTTAACCCCAGACTTTGATATGCATTTTGTTTCAGCTTTAGACTAAAACTATTTTAGAGTAAGCACAGCCTATTTTTCAACATTACTGAAATAAAATATTTCATCATTTCTGCTCTGAATTCATGTTATAATTTTATTCTGATGGGGGAAATAATTTCAGAAGTCCTCGTGTAACCAAAAATTGTAGAAAAAAACTCAAGGATTTGTCTTCTTTAAGACACTTAAACAGCTTTGATAGAATAAATTCACCACATTGCTCAGTCAGTAGTTCATTCCACATACTCATAGAATGTGCCAGATTTTAGGAAAAAAGATAGCATGAGAAGCAAAACTTCAGTAAAGTGATGAACGTTTTTGGTGAAAACTACTGGTCAAAACCAGGATTTTTTTGCTGTAGGATTTTATTTTTTCTTTTTTTTTTTTTAAATCTGCACTTTGTTCACGACAGCAAATAACTTTTGTTGCTTCTATAGCGTAAAAGACTGCAGTGTTTTATAGACTATCACAAGAGACTACGTGAATAAAATTTAAGCGATCAAACATCACATCAACATTTATGAAAGGTCAATCTTTAAGTGATAACTATTTAGCAATTTGCATCAGAGACTGAGAAAGCAACGTCAGTACTAGATACCAAAGATTCTGCTGAATTTTAATTTGCATGATTTTTTTTTTTTTTTAATTCCAGGAATGGGTGTGTACAGAGGCAGAGCAACTATTACTTGTGTCATAAGCAGAGAAAAAAAAGTCCGCCTTTTCTCTAAGGTGATTCACAATGAAGACCTCAATCACAATACAATATGACTGAATCCAGCCTGAATTTTCAGGAGGGCATTTGTCCAATTCTTGAAGTTCACACCAGCATAATCCACTGCATATGTAGTGTATGATGTACACGCCTCCAGGTTCCTGGAAAAATGTAAAAAGAGCTCTAGAAATGTCAAAAACTTGTACAGAAATAGCTGCAGAAAAGCTGATACTGCCCAACAATGGAGCAAATAGGTAGCTAGTATCAATGTTAATTTAAGTGACACCTAAAAAAATCTGCCACGTTTTTTAGACTAGAGACCAAAAGATTCCATAAAGTTACTGCTTTGGCAAAAGCAAAACGAAACACAGTTAGAAAAAAAAAAAAAAGAAATAATAATAAAAGGAAAATCAGTGAGATCCATCACAGCAGAAGCCACACCTGCCTGGTCAGTGAATGGCACACCTACAAGTGAGTGTACTCCAACAAGAGCAGCAGCTGCTGAGGACTCTGTAGGGGAGACCTCATGCAGACCCACAGCCAGACGTGATGTTTGAAAGAAAGTGTTTCTCCTTTGTGACTGCAAATGCTGACAGTAACACTCAGACAGACTGCGGCTGGGGAGCAGAACATAACTGGCCCCAGCTGTGTTCATGCAGACAGTGGTTGTTCAAGAAAAAAAACATGCTTTATTACCTGCAGCTTAGTAGATGGCCTCCACTGTCTGCACTGGCTTCCTTATCATATTGGGCTGCAGACTTACACCAGGCAGAAGTAGCCCAACCATGTCCTAGCCTATTGACTAGAGCTGATATGCCAAAAGAGACTGTAGCACCCTTGTCCTTTACTTCTCCCTAATTAAAAAAAAAAAAAAAAAAAAAAAAGAAAGCTGTTTTTAAGGTTCTGGTTTCAGCCTTGCCAGGGATCTCAGTCAATTCCACTCTTGCATTTGCTACATAGAAATCAAAACTCTGTCTTCCTTTGTAAAACAAGTAATTTTGCAGATGAAAGCACTACAATGGAAATTATTATTATTATATAGACAAAAATCTGAGTATTCATTACCAGATTTCTTGCCTTGTCTCAAGACATCAAGAACCATGCACTCTCTTTTACTCACAGCACAGAAAGTTTCATCTCCTTCCACAGAAGATGAAAACAACTTCATAATGCATTATTCTAAACACAAGTCTTTGGTTTTGAGCAATTTCTTCCTAACATTTCTCAGTCAATGGGTGATTGTCCTGAATCATGAAGGTTTGCAGATTAAACCCCTGCTCCTTTTCAACTTGCTTGCCTCATTTACTCGAGGTTTTGACATTTGTAATCAGCAGGGAGTTTCACCAATTTGCATGCACACACTAAAACAGGTAACAGGAAAAAACAGGGTACTCTGCAAGACAGAACAGGAACATTCTTTCCAAGCCAAACCAGCAACACAATTTTGCATCGAAAGGCACACAAGCAATCTCCCAAATTAGAATACACTATGGAGTACTGACCAAGGCTATTGAACAGAGCTGATGCTTTTAAGTTGTTTCATTTGCTGTATTCCAGTTTGCATTGCAGAGTGTGAACTTTAGAATTTTTGCGGCGTTATTTTTGCAAACTGAGTCATGGCAAGCAAGCAGCTGAGTCAGCAGTCAAAGCTGAGTCTCTTCCAAAAGAGCTTAAATGCACTGAAATTTCAGCTCAACTTTGTACAAAGATAAAGATTTCACCCTAAAGTTTCAGGTGCTGAAGCTCAAAAAGAGATGATTAGATATGCTTTACTTCAAAAGAGGATATGCTTTACTTCAAAAGAGGATACAGGGCTAGATGGACCTTAGTCAAACTAAGGTCTTTTATGGAAAACCAGAACTGTATTAAATGAGAAAAAGAAAACAAATACAACAAAAAATGTGAGCTGAGCTCTGTGTATTTTCAAAGCCCTCAGCCTCTGAGACAAAAGCATCCTTGTGTGCTGCACCAAACCCTTGACAAACGCAGAGAGAGGAGAAAAGTTGGGAACCCCTGAATATTCTTTCATCCACCTTGCAGGACAAGTGTAACAGCATGGTTGGATTTCCAAAGAAGGTACTCGCTCACCAGAAACCACAGTGAAACCAAACTATGCATCATCTAACCTCATTATTTTGTGAACAACTGAAAACAGGTGATGCATATCAAGGACTGACAGAAACAGCATGGTTTCTACCTTGCATTGCAAGGATAAAATGGAAGACAAGATGATGATAAGCAACCAGGGAGCAAGTACCAGCAGAACTATGGGCATTCCCAGTCTTGTGGTCAGGTAGACTTTTTGTTAGGATTTGGATCCAGCCAGGGGAGCTGAATCTTTACTCCAGTTCCCCTCCTTTCTTTCATGTAAAAATTCTCCACTTGTAACTAAGAAATCTGAAAACTACAGAGCTCAGCATCATTCAGTTTTGCCAGTTTAGTCAGATGCAAGACCACAGCCTATAGCTGGAGGTACCAGAAGGGAAATTATTTTCCTTCCCCTCTCTGCTGCCAACCTGCTTGGGTTTGAAAACAAAAGAGAAAAAAAAAAAAAAAAGAAAAAAACCCCACCAAAACAAAACAAACCCAACAAACAACCCACTCTTTACCAGACATATTATTATGCTTTCCCTTCTGTCTTCACTAGATTTTGCATCCAGGTCATGTTTTGTAACACTGAATATTTGTTTTTTGCTTGTATCTCCATAGTGCTTAAACATCCCGTTTCAGCACTTTGTACTGTACCTAGAAGAATGGAGAAACAACGTTCACACAAATCAGGTCTGCTACTGTAATCTCTTTTCAGTATCTTTGCACAGACTGGATTTTTCATAACTAAAAAATACACCCAAAAAGCCTTTTGGCTGATTTCAGCATAGCTGTCCAAGTTATCTTTATTTCCTAGAATAGGCGAACAAGCTTAATTTTGGGGTACTAGGGGTATATGGTCTGTCCCTCTTTTCCCATTAAAAGACATTAAGAGGTGTCAAAAATTTGGCTAACAATAAAACATCAACTGTCTCAGCATCGTATAGTTTGAAAATTAGAAATGATCCACAGAAGCAGTAAGTTGGGTTTTTTTTCCACCACCTCTGAAGCCTTTGAATCAAAACTAACAGACCTGAGAGGTTAGACTTGAAAAACTTAAAAAAGGGCTGCTTACTGCTAGTTGTTTCTGCTGAACTTTCTTCTATTTCAACAGAGCTAGATAGACTCAGTGCTTTAAAGTCAGGTCTGAAAGTGTCTATGTTTGGCTACAGTCAAAGACTTGCATTGTTTTAACTTGAGCTTTTGAAGTAGATACTGCTCTGGATCAAAGGACCAAAAGAGCAGCATAAGAAGGCACGACAGCAGAAGGCACTGCTCAGATCAAGTTTTGCAGGAAATCATACTAACCCTTTGTGAGTTCATTATCAGGTTCTTGTGTTCTTCAGCACACCGGATCTACCTATTCATGATTAGTGCAAACCACATCCTAAAATAGAGAGGGAAAAAAGTAAAAAAGCTTGAAAGAAGATATGTATATGCAGGATTCAGACCCATCTCTCAGAGCCTTTAGTCTTCCAGAAAGCCTTGATGGTACATCAGAGTGTTACAACACCCAGAAATAAAATTTAACATGGAGAAGAAAAGAAAGGAGAGCAAATTTTTCCTCTGTGCAGTTTCTGTCTTATCCCATACATATCTTCTGTGAAAACAGCAACCAACATTTGCAGCAAACAGGAGAAAGATTACAGTCTGAAGCTCAGCAACAGGCAGGACATGAGGAAGGTTAAGAGTAAGCCATGAGTTTCTCTTTCCTCCTCCTCAATAATTCTGCCTAGGATTCAGATGGCCCTTTCACCCATAGCACAGGAACATATCCAGATCCTGCAGCCATGAGAAACAACACACAGCAGTTGACATTCTCCCAAGGCAAGTGCTTTCAGAGATTATTCACAGATTTCACAGAAAGTGCTACTGCACAAGTCCACAACCAGGGGAGACTTCTGGCTAAATTTGGACTAGAGATCCATAAAGAGTGTTAATTCTGTACACCTGATGAAGACTGGTGGAACTTGCAAAACCGAACCTCTGAATGGGATTTGGAAGAAAGGAGACAGGTATAAACAAGCTGGAAGCACAGGCAGGCATTTTTATCCAGTTTGCAAACTAGCAGTGGATTGGAGATTAACTCCATCTCAGACAAACAAAAACATATTGAAGGAAATTTTTTGAATTTCTCTACACATAAAACTTTCCTACTACAAGAGGAAGAATCAGCAAGAGTTAAGAAAAGAACAGGAAACAGAGAAGAAAAATTTCTTAGCTACAGCATCAGAGGCATGACTCTCAATTGTGAGGCATTTGCCCACACTGTGCCCAGATCCGTCCTCTGGCCCACAACCACAGAAAAGACTGAAAATGCTCAGTTAATATTAGTATAGAAGCATGAGCTCTACAGAAGCACCAAGTTTAATAAAACTAGTGCATATACTTACAATGAGGAAGGAAACTTAACAGGAAAATCCTTTCAGACCGTAGATATTGGCTGCATTTTTCTACTGGATTTGCATTGGTATTCAACAGGTCCACTCTACTTAACAAAGGTCCATTCTGCTAGAGTTTCAAACTCAAATCCCATGTCCATTAAGGAGTCTTTTTTTCTCCCCTCTTCTTTCCCCCCACAATTTTTAAGGGCTAAATTTTAGGCATGCAGCTGTAGGCACTCCACCAAAGTGCAAGATTGCAATCTTATAGTGATGCTTGCACAGCGTCTGCTGTGAACATGTGCTGGGGAGTCTCACGAGCCAGATTGTGCTTGCCATTACAGCTCTGCAGAGTTAGAAGTGGGACCTTCCTAAGACCCTGGCTTTGGAGTTCCATATGTACTTGCCTCCTGCGGGACAGGTATATGTGCTAAAGCCCAAAACAGGAATTAGTAAATACTTTCCCAATTCCTTGGCCATCAAGACCATATATCCTACTGAAAGGGGACTGCATGACCAAGGGCCTGAAATAAGCACTGGTTCTGTGAAACTTCTTGAGGTAACACACAATTTCAAGACTTCCCCCAGAACTGGGGAAGTTCATTACTCCCGTATTTAATAACATAACAAGCAACAGGGAATATCTTCTGAAAAGGTTTTTTTAAACATACACACTTTATTCAGCAAAAGCATAACAAAGATCCCTGTGACATATGTTTCCAACATTTTTCCATTCAGCCCTTGGCATCAAGTTCCAGGATAATCTCTTCCTGCCCAGTTTTGCCTTCTCATTGAAGAACCTTTAAAAGAGACCCTATTCTTTTGTAGCTTCCAGTTCCTTTTGTCATCTGATCTCCCAGCCAGGACCTTGGGGTTAACTGCCATGTTTTTAAATCCCAGCCTGCAAGACAACTTTCTTGTAACTCGGTCATTTCTTTCAAGAAATGCTGCTGTAGCACATGGACCAAGTTATTCAGGAGCTGGTCATTCTTGCCATGTCTTGTCTCTGTTACTCTGCACCTGTGTAACTCTGCAAATCCAGTTCACAGGGAGATAAAAGGGTAATAGAGAGGGCACAAAACAGCCTTGGAGCACAAATAGATACTTTGTGTTGGCTTTGGACAGTTAAAGTGATAACTGCCTTACATACAGCAATGAGTTAGTTGTCGACAAGTTTCCCAACAGTACTCACTGGAATAGTTTGCCTAGGATAGACTGGAGTTGCCATCATAAGAAATTTTGAAGAATAGGTTAAACAAACACATTGGGAATAATATTCAAGATACAAATGATGTTTCCTTAGGTTAGAGGGGCATAGGGCCAGATCACCTCTCACAAACCTTTCATCTTTTATTTATTATCCGTTAAAATGCTGTTCACAGTCTGGAAAAGACATACAAGAACAGATTAAAGAGAAAATATGGGGACTGAAAATCTTTCAGCAGCTCCTTTGGGAAGTCACGTTAGAGCATTTGCAAGTGAAAAAAGGGAGGATGATGAGCGACTGCAAAGTCATGTAACAGAAAACATTCTCAAGTAGCTTCCTGCTGGTACAGACAGAAATGGTTAGTAAATAACCAAGCTGCTGCCAGAGGCTCAGGTTAGATCTGTCAGCACTGTGAACTACTTGCTCAAATATGGATGGATTTTCAGGAAAGGTATCCTAGGAAAAGTGTCAGAATATCCATTTTACACACACAGAGGCGCTGTTATCCCCAGTGATTTTAGGATATCCAAAATGAGAAATAAAGGGACTGCAATAGTCTGGAGTCAGACATCTGATTATATCAAAGGGACAAAGTCCATCCAAACAGAGCAGATTCCTTCTCCTTGCCATCCAAACTTAGGGTTTAGTTAAGAGGATGCTTTCTCAGCCTGTAAAATACAGTATCACCTCCTTCAGAGCACTGTAAACCACAGTATTGTTCTTCTGTAATTGCTATTTTTGAACATCTGACACATATTTGTAAAATAGCAACATTATGAACATAAGGGATAGAGTAGCCTTGCACATAGGTTAAGAAATACAATTCAGCTATACAGTGCACACTGTTCACCAGTGCATGTTCTTCTCTTTGCTCATTCATCCCAAATAATCACATTTAAAGGCCTTCATTCATGCACAGGCAGGATTACAGTCTAAGCTTACAAACCCCACTCCAGGGTTGAAAAAAAAAATAAACCATCTGTGCTGAGTCCCTACAGCTAAACTTTACACGCCCCTACAGAATTGCAAGGATCCACATACCCTCCAGATGGCACTAGTATAAAACCTGCTTTTTACAGACTGATTCTGACTAAATACCAGGTTTGCACTGACCACCAAAATCAGAGAATGCTGTGCTCATTACTCAACTGCTGTGTCAGCAAAGCACTTGCACATTCCCAAGGAGATGCAGCAGGGAGGATTTGAGGACCCACAGTTTTAGTATTAGGAATCTTCCTTCTTCCCAGGCCTTCAGGAGGCAGCTGGCTCCACCAGACAGACCATCCCGCTGAACTTCAGCATATGGCATAGTTCATATAACTACACCACAGATACTAGGCAGGGATCTGATAATGCTTTCACACCATGCCTTTCAAAAACAAACTGAAACTAGATGCACCAGTGCCTTGCCCACTGGGTCAAGGTGAACCAGGTAACTCCCCACAGCCCCTCAGTCAGAAGGTTTCATTCTGATTTCACTTCCATCTCGGACGTGGCTGACAGAACCTATCTGAGGACAAGTTAGAAAAACTGACCTGCCTGAGACTGCAAAGGAGCAAATGCCACGCTGTCCTGTTTTGTGTCACATATTCAGTCCCAGCAGGACTGCATGCCAAGGCTAGGAAACACAGGATAAGTCCCAGCCACATAGCAGCAGCAGCAGTGTGTGGGTACAGGGACCCTGTGTGCAGCACCGGCAGGGTAGAACACCCTGTTACAGCACATACAGACACACCCTTGGGTAAAGCAGCAGTAACCGGCAAAAGGTTCTTAGTAGTGCTGTATACTCTGAGGCTCCTTTGTCACAGGGACCTCCCTTCTGCACAGTCAAACACAATCTCTAGCAGTGTTTCATGTAGGCAGACCACGATTAGGAATCAGGGCCACAACTCTCAGGTCTTTTCTGTAGACAGAAGACCACTTCACTGAAAGCAGTAAATAGGCAGGTGTGTCTATGAAGCAGTCTAGAGCCCTACTTGAAGAACTTTAAAACCATTCTTTCCATGTTGTTATTGTTATTCTTAGATCTAATCAGAGGTGTGTTTGTAATTATTGATACAAAACCTTTTTACTTGCAATACTACACAGTTATGGCAACAAGTGAAGTTTAATGGATACACTACGTTTTCAGAAGTACAATGTAAAGCAAAATGGAGTGAAAACTAAAATTCTGCTCTCCTCACAGCACTAATTGCCAGAAAAATAAAAATACTCCTGGCTGTAAAGCACTGAATCGTTGCAGAAATAATACATAAATGTGTCATTCTGCACACAGTTGGAAATAACTTTTCTAATTTTTACTAACTTTAATTAACCTTTTGATTAGTTGTTTTAATTAATTATAGATGCTGTGTTAGGCCTTAAATCACTTTTACCCAGTGTTTAGCTACTTTTGTGAGAACATAGCTTGGGAAAAGTGCTAAAACTTTAAGTTTTGTTAAACTAACTTTGATATGGTTCAGTGAACAAAGCCTGAGAAAGATGTGCTATTGAAGCTAGACATCTGGAATGAACTATAAGGACATTTTGCAGAAACCAGCAGATAAAGAAAAGAATAAACAAATAATTCAGTATACGTGCTGGAAGGTCCCTACCAGAGGACAAGGATACTAAAAAGACTAAAGATGTGGACTTACTTAGCATAGAAAGTGGGAAATTAATAAGCAACAGAAGGTAGAATACTAACTAATGAAAGAGAATTCTGTAATTAAGAACCAATGAATATTAATTTTTTTGTTAAAAATGTACGAATAGGTAAAAAAGTGGTGTATTGGTGTCTGTGTAGAGGCAGGAGTTTTGTCGGCCACATACACTCCCAGTGCTGCAAATACAGAAGTGCCTTGCTTTCTAACAACACTTCAAGCCACAAAACCCATAACTAATTTGAAACTAATTCTGTTTCATTCCTTACCTTCAAGGCCTGGCTCTGAGGTAATTAATTCTTAATAAACTGCACACAGAGCATGTTCCAGGGTCTCCATAGGGATGGTGCCACAAAAGAAAAATTGTGTGCAACTGCCATTTTTTAACACTAAAAAGGCAAATCCGTAACTGCCTTTGAACACCAAAAAAGGCAATTCTAGGGTCAGTGGAGACCACTTTATTCCAAGAATGAAGTGTGCTTGGTACTGAACACACAGTCCTCAATCATTAGAACTGGCATTTGAGGTGAGAAATTACAAGTACAAGCTCTATGTCTCGGGTGAACCACATCTGTCGGCTCTGAAAACCCATCAAACACGTCAAACACATAGCAAACCCGAAGTAGATACTGAAGCTCCTTTTCACCGCCTTCTCTGGTGACAGCATTGATCCTTATCAGCTGAGAAGAAATAGTCAGGTTTTTGCATTGGTCATCTCAGAAAACAGTGGCACTTTCAGTGTCCACTCAGCCCATCACAGCTACTTCATTTTGTTTACTTTGTACACATCTTCATAACACAGGAAATAAATGTCAATACGAATAACTCCTCATCCGTAGAGACTTTACAATCTCATTTCTTCCTTAGTACTGCTAATAATTCTTCCTCCTCCCTTTTTTCCTTCTCAAACACACAGAGGAAAAATTTAATCTTTAAAGAACCATTTTAATAATGTCAGACAAAAATCAAAGTAAGAAACCACTGATTATGAAAATACTTGATTCCATCATATTCTGTTGTTTAAATAACACCATGACTGACATCAAAACCATAGGAATCAAAAAGAAGATTCTGTCTGCTCTAGAAAGTCAGTTGTACTGACAGAGTTTGTGCATCTTTGCAAATATCAGGCACTTACAAAGACCATCAGTTTACTGGAACAAAACAGATAACTAAAGAGAAATAAAATTCTTTAACTCAAAACATTCCACTTCCAAGGTGTTGGCCTATAAAAAGCAGGTACTCCATGCCCATTAGGAAAAAAAAAAAAAAGAAAATAAACATAAAAAGGATATATTAGAGGAAAAATGGCTCATTTAAAACCTACAGGTTAGTTAGAGGCCAACCAAAACAGCCTAAATTTTTCATATGTCATTGTACTTCTCAATTTACTTTAAGTCTTCAGGGACAGCAGAACAGAAGCAGTAAACTGGCTTTCTAAGAGCAGACAGATGCAGACTACAAGGTCTCTTTCCATGTTACTGCTGTTTGGACCAGCAGGCATTTGAGTGCTCTCTTCTGCAGCTGTTCTCAGCTCCCGTAAGAAATCAACTAAAATTTTCCCAAAGTCACTTGCACAGAGGTCATAAAAAAAATGAGGTCCATTCAATGCTGGCAGTGAGCCCAATCAGACTAAAATGATGTTGATACTAACCAGGTGATAAAAGAAGCTAAAAGTGTCTTGTCTGTTGGCAGCTCTGAGCTACCAGTCCCACAAGTGAAACCAGTAAGCCAGCAGGGGCTGTGCACCCCTTTTGTAGGCTCCTCTCTAGTTGCAAAACATGGTAAAAAAATAAAAGTGTAAGAAGGTTACTGTAGTGCAAGGAGTGTACATTTTTACTAGACTGATGCGAACATTACCTTCCAGTTGAGTTCAATTTCACAGTCCAAGGCAAATGTTAGAGCTGCAGCTTTTATTTTTAGAAAGCACTTCAATATTTACCTCTGAGAGATTTAAAAAAAAAAAAAAGTCTTTGAAGAATTTAAAAAGTTGCCTCAGCAAAGCAACTTCCCTTTTTTAAAGACTTGGTGTCAAATCAGTATGATTTGATGGAAAGGGAAGCGAAGTGGGGGAAAGACAAAGAAACACTCAAATCATTACAGAAGGGTCAGCCACATGTCTCTAACGAAGAGCTGGTGGTCATAACTTTCATGTTGTATGGTTGCATTGATATTAGGTTCATCTACAAATTCTATTTCGCACGCCTGAGTGCTGCAAGGAGAACTCTCCAGCTCCAAGACTGTTATGTTGTTCGGCACCGATGAAACAAGTACATTCCTTGGAACATAAAGGGTCAACTGAGGACCACGGGCTGGCCAGTAGCGACCAAGATTAAAGCCATTGATCCAAATTTGCCCCTGTTAAGAGAGAAAGAAAAAACAAAAACATTTTAATAATTCGTCAGAGATCAAATGACAAAATAGCTTTGAGTATAACGCTCTTCATATAGTAACTGAATTTCCTTCATCTTTCAGTTTGATAGAACACAAGGACAGAAAATCTGTTCGAGAAAATGCTAAAGACAGTCAAAAGAATCTAAATTCCCTGAGCAGTTAAAGTTATCATTAATATTTAAAAAGAAAGTGGTCAAGTACTGCAGCAATTCCAAATATGACAATACTTAGGAAAACAATTGCAGGTTCCTCGCAGTGAATTTTACACCAAGTTTAAGATCAAAACAAACCTGAAAATTGTATTTGCTTGAAGCTGATTGTTAAAAGGAGAAAAAACTCACAGAAGAAAAATGCAGATGCTAATTCTGTTGTGGCTCTCTGTACAAGTGTAAGACTACACTACCTTGGTAGTCCTTTCCTGTTTCTGTGATTTCATGGAAAAGCTATAGCTTGTCTAGACACATGAAACTCAGATGTCTCATACTTAAGTCAACAAAAGTACTTGTGAAATCACACTGCAAGAAAGTACTGTATTTTGCTGCAGTTACATACAATCATTAAAATCTTTGGGGGTCTGCTAGTATTAGGTTAAATGAAATTGTGGTTAACTTGGCATAAAATCTCCTTAAATCGCTTTTTATAGTTGAGGTGGTCAGAGCCCCTAGTTCAAAATATTGCCCTAACATCATTAATACCTTAAGTTCAAAAGATTTAAAAAAATGGGCAAGGAGAAAAAGAAAAAAGTCAAACCAATCCTTTATACACCACAAAACAGACACACAGAAGTGACACAGATGCAGATTTTTCCAAAAGTTTATAAACTGGTGGGATGCAGAGTGTTTAGTAAAACTGTAAACTGACTCCTACTGAGTTTTGCTTATTAAACAAGATAGAAGGGAGAATATACAACTGATTTGGATAAATAACTTTTACTCCTTCAAAGTGTCTTTTCACTGTATGTCAAACAAGATTTCAGCGTCAGGAAAAGAGATGGGAACAGATAACTGCATCTGTGTTTTCTCCTTTTGCTTTGGTCTTTGGTAACCAAAATATAGAGGAAAAACAAACTAACTCATAGCATTGATGTGCATTGATAAAAATAATAAAATTGTCTGAATCAGTGGAAAGTAAGGACTTTTACTGAATTCAAGTAATTTCTAAAGTTTTCTGAGATAACTGAAATCAGAAGAATATTTTAAAAGGATTTATAGAGGCACAATTGTAATATGGTGAGTATTGCTGTTCAGGCTGTTTCAGAGGTATCTTTCTTGTGTTTCCTTTTTCATGTATTTATGAAAACAAATTTTATGAAACATGCAAGAGAAACTTTTAAGGAGTTAGTACATTTGCAAATGCAGTTCAGTTATTTCAGCTCTGTATCCACTTCCGTGGTATAAGATCCTATCTTGCATCGTTCTGCCAAGGTGTTAATAAACTTTGACCTCAAAATTTTTTTCCTTAATCAAGTTTATCTTTATTCAAACTCTCTACTTTGCTGCTGTAGTAGTTTTAGAAGACAACATAGCATTAACGCCAACTCCACCCACCCCCCCCAAGATTAATTAGTGTACCCACTAGACAGACAGTAGCCCTCCTCCTACAGACACTGACAGTAAACCTGTGGGAAGTAGGTGTTTACTGCAGGAATCAACTGCATTATAGATCAAATGCTGGTGGTATGATCAGACAGGTCTCTGTTTCTGATCTTTATCAGTCACTGGTTGCAACGCATTTTTGCAGTAAAGCTGCGCACACTCAAGAATTTGTGTGCCCCAAACCAGCAAATTATGACACTATATACACTACCAATGAAAATGTCTTAGACAAAATAAAAGAGGGAGAAACTGTATCTTCAGTAGCAAGATTTCCCTTAGCAGGGAAAGCAACTACAGCCCACGATTCCACATAAATCAGGAACAGTCCTGACTCCAAATCCTATTTTCTGTTGAGGAAAAAGAAAGGTCCAATAAATCTAACCATACATTCAGCATGTTTGCTCAAGGGCATCGTGATTCTTCAAGGGAAGGTGGAGGAGGTTTTATTACTAGTTAAGGGCTTAAAAACCACTGAAGACAAGCAAGCTACAACAATAGGGCATGACTCTTAAGGCTGCAACCCTTCCTTCCAGGCCGTCCACCATGCTATATTCCCTGCCTTAGTATGCAAAGGCAGAACCATTATTAGGAGTATAAGTTTCCTTGATAAGTGTTGCTTCCATGGTTTTCCAACATCTCAAATACGTGAGTTTTAACCCCTGTTAAGAATCCCTCTCCACACTTCGGCATCAGCAATTTATATAGTGCCGCTCAAGGAATTAAGGCCCAGATACAACAGGACTTGAGTGGAATTTATACCCTTAAGGCCCTCTGCCTTAAAGGTATTTGTTCATTGCTAAAGTTACCTGGAAGTCTCAGTTTCTACACCCAGCATCACGTCAATCTTATTACTCTGGGATATCTTATTTAAAACACTGGACCAATCCATATAAAGCTTGAAGGACCAATTCATCAGCTCAACTTACAGTTCATCTGGGATCTCTCACCATGACTGCTTTAGAGGGTATACAAACTATGTAAAACAAAGGTTTCTATAGGTCAAAGGAAAAGATTTTCACTAA